GTGGGGGAGGGGCAGAGAAAGAGGGCGAGAAAGAATCCCAAGCTGGCTCCAAGCTCAATTCGGAGCCTGATGCAGGGCTCAATCTCACAAACTATGAGATCGTGATCTGAGCCTAAATCAAGAGTTTGACAGTTAACTGACTGAGCCACCTGGGTGCCCCCATTCTCATTTTCTATTATATCCTTTTTTACCGGCCTCCTTTCACTTAGCATAATGCTTTTGAGATGCTTAGTGCTAATTTTCTGTTGTGTGGATATACCATATTTGTCCATGAATTAGTTCATTGGACTTTTGGGGGTTTTCCAGTTTGAGGCTGCTGTAAACATTTTGCTGTATGTATTCTAGCATAAACAAGCTTCTGTGAACATTCACAAACAGGTCCTTGTGTGTATGTATCATTACTTTTCTGGGGTTTTCTAAAGCAGGCCTCCCATTTGGCATTCCTACCAGCAATGTATGAAAGTTCCGATTGCTTCAGAGGTTTGCCAGCACTTGGTATTATCAGTACTTTTCATTTTATCCATTCTAGTGGGTGTGTAGCCCTATTTCATATAGTTTTGGTTTTTTCCTAATGACCAACCTGTGATGTGCTTGTGTCACCCATCTGTCTTCCCTGACAAAGTCTCTGGTCAAATCTCTTGCCCATTTTTAAAGAAATTCAGTTGGTTTTCTTATTGAGTTGAAAAAGAGAATTCTTGGGGTGCCTGGGTGGCTTGGTTGGTTAAGCCTACGACTTTGGCTTAGGTCATGATCTCACAATTCATGAATTTGAGCCTCACATCAGGCACTCTGCTGTCAGTGCAGAACCCACTTGGGATCCTCTGTCTCTGCTGTCTCTGTCTCTGTCTCTCTCTCTCTCTCAAAACTAAGTAAACATGAAAAAAAAGAATTCTTTGTAGATTTTGAATTCAAGTGCTTTATCAGATATATTTTTTGCAAATATTTTCTCCCAACTTGTGGCTCAGCTTTTCTTTTCTTAAGTGTCTTTCAAACAGAAATTTATAATTTTGGATGAAGTCTAATTCATCTATTTTTTCTTGCAAGATTTGTATTTTTTGTGTCCTAAGAAATCTTTGCCTGGACCAAGGTTATAAAGATTTTCTCTCTTTGTTATCTAGAAGTTTTGTAGTTTTAGGTTTTACCTTTAGTTTTCATTGTTTTGAGTTTTTTTTTTTTTTTTTTTTT